CGTGGTGCTTGGCTGGACTCGCCCTGGCTCTCCCGCGCCCCTGGCTCTCCCGGCGGACAGATACTCTCTCCTTAGAGCGCAGTGCCAGATGGCTGTGGGGTCATTAAATTACTGCGGAGCTGCATAGATCCACGGGCTGCTCTTTGTGCAGTAAATAAATAAATAAATAGTGTTCCCGACTCAAACTATTAGCTTAATGAAGTCAAGGCAGTTTCAGTCCTTAAATGTGAATTACCCGACAGGAAAGCCTGTTGTTTAACCAGTCTGGCACTTAATTTCTTTTTTATTTCCCCCTCCACCCCCTTCTTGAAAAGCAAGCGAGCAAGCTGGGTTAAACGTATGGATTCCTATTGTTAAGAAGTATGGTTGCTCTCCTTTTGCTAGGTCCTTAAGTGGAATTAAGACTACTCCCCTCCTCTCCTTTCCTCCCCTGCAATGCAGACATGACCTAAAGATGAACTGAGTTTGCCTAGTGGCAGTGTTCCTTTCAGTAGAAATGAATGTTGTCAGTGTTTTCATAAACGTTAATTGAGATTTGTTTGTGGTATTAACCAGAGGAGTGCCGCAAACCAGCTAAAACTCTGTGCAGCAATTATTCTACAGAGCTGGGGTTGATGACATACAGACATGCAGCTGTGCAGTAAGTCTTGCTGGCTCATGGTTTCTTACACTTGTTTTTCCCTCTTTCTGTCACAAAGGTTGCCATTAAGGGTATCGAAAAGGAGCTCATCTGCCCATCATGCCAGGAATTATTTACTCATCCGCTGATCCTTCCTTGCCAGCACAGTATTTGTCACAAATGTGTGAAAGAGATACTCTTTGCGTGTGAAGACTCGTTTGCTGATGGGGGCTCTGAATCCTCCAATCAGAGTAGTCCTCGAATGAAAATGTCTTCTCCTAGTATGGACAGACTCGACAGGTTTAGTAGATCAGGTACGTATCAGAATTTTTGTGCATGTTCCTAATTTTATGTGTGAGACTGACTTGAGCTAAATGGTATCTGCATTGGTAAAACGTCTTCCCAGTACTCCTGACACAGTTAAAGAGATGGCGTGGGGATAGTGCTAGTCTTGTTCATTCTGTGGTAAGAACAATTGGAATATTTTTAAGGACAATGCACTTTATTTCATATGTAATAGATTTGTCTTTGTGGCATCCTGTAATCTTTGTAACCATTGTTTGTTTATTCCTGTATTTCAGTTACATCGAGATGCAATAGCATCATGTTCAGTAGTTTTGAGATGCAGATTTCAGCAGTTTTATTGCCTGGCTGTAGTACTGTTGAGGTGAATCTCTCGCGTTTTGGCCAGCCTAAATTCAGTAGTTGCCACTTCCTTCTGAGCCTCCGCAGACTTCACAAACAATAGTTTTGTCCTGCCCATTTTATTATGCTTACAATAAATCATTTTCCATAGATGATGATCATTGCACAGTTGCAGAATTGGAGGAGAGACGACTGTAAGACCATGCTAACAGTCTCCTTCCATGTGGTCTGCTCATAGTTTCAGGAGTGCTTAGTTGTAGGACTCCTCACGTTCTTTGTGATACCACACTAGAAAGATTCTTACTGCTGTCTCTGTAATCCATGGATTAGTCAATCCACTTTTACACAGATATACCAAAAGTACTTTGTGCAGGCTATACTTTTTGAAAGAAACCTCATGTTGGCTTTTAGGCTTCCTTCTGATGCAATTATCCACTTTCAAACCACACTCTGTGGTGCTCTGGAAGAGTCACCTGCAAGAAAAACCCTAAAGCCGAATCTCGCATTTCATGTGTTACTAACGTTCATCCTCCCTTCACAGTTTTCCAGGTTCGAGTGTTTTATTTCACCCGTTTCTTGTAAACAACTCCTGAGTTCTTAGTACTGGTACTCTCTCAAATCAGTTGGATAAGCAAATGCTGTGTTTGCTGTAGCTTGGCTGGTTGAGGCTTCCATGATTTGAGGGAATCCCTAAACCAAATGGCTGGTTATCTTCATTACAGTCCTGTTTTCTGGACGTGGGGTGCACAGCCTCACAGTCACTGTTTAGCTCTACATACATACACCAACTGCTTTCTAAGCCCTCTCTAACTGCAGTGTTATGTGAAGTTTGAATGAAGAGAGCCCACTGGTGACTGCCTTCTCCCAAATTCAAGTCTACTCCCTTTTTTCCTCAGTAAGCATAATGTTGTGGCATGGCATTGTACACATGGACTGAAGTGGTCACAGATTTTTGCTGCAGCTGTCCACTTTACGTTGTTACATCATGGACCTAGAAGACCCAGGTTGGGTGCCTGCGGAGTGGCGTACGCACTACGGGCGACCTTACCTCCCTGTGAAAATATGACTTGTGAAGTGTGGGGGTACTGGAGCATAAACAAGAGGTCACCCTTTTTCTCCCATCCAAATCTGCCCTCCATCTTGCTCTCCATCATACAGGAGAAATGGTGATCTAGCATGACACAGCCTGCACACGGTGCTGTGGCACGGTCTGACCTGTGCTCGGAGGAGGCAGGGTTCCTTTGAGAACCTGACGTTTAGTTACTACTAGATTTGCAGAGTTCAGTTCACAGTGCTGCTGTAGTTGTTTACTGCCCTTCTCGCAAGGTTTAGTGTTACTGCTTAGTTACGCCCTAAACAACAGGGCAAGAAAGGCCCGTTCTTGGTACCCCTGTCCACCCTGAGATACACGCATGCAGGTTGTTGCAGGGGTTGTAATCTTTAAATCCACAGTAGTCTGCCACCACCCCAGCAAACTGATGGGAAGTTTTGTGTGTTATCTCCTCATCTGACGTGCTAGTAGAGCGAGACGAATGCTTTCCTAGAGATTTCACACCTATTTGATGAGTAGCAAGACAGTGTTCAGACTTGGAAATAATGGGCTTTCCCCCCTTCTCCCTGGAGAGCATTGGGCAGATGCATATCACAGAAAAATTACCATCTCAGTTCAAATTTGAAAAATGAAAAGCCTATGGAAGTGGGAGCTTTAAAGAATACATTTGGACATTCAGGTTATGCTGTCTTTGCTTCTGACGTTACAGGCATTATAGGTCCATCACTGTGTAGGGTGTGAGATTGACTCTTGGATGTTTGGTACCAGTGACATTAAACCAGCTTGCTAGTTACATTATACTATTCCCATCTTTCATCTGATGTACACATAGTGTGCATTGCTTTGCTTAATTGATTTTGTGATCCCTAGGGGGATTTGTAATAAAACAGCTCCATAAGAGAGAAAATGTACAAGAAAACATCCAAAGTGGGGCCTCACGTGTATAACAAAAAACCACTCAAATTTCTGGTAGGCTTGTTGCAGGGCATGTCACTCTCAAGACATTATTGTTACATTTGAAAATGTATATGACACCTTCCTTCCTTTTTTTTTTTTTTTTTTTTTTTTTTTCACTTAAGGAATCTCTGCTATCTCTGTGAGGAGTATCGTCTATCTAAAATGATTTTGACATTTAAATTCTTGAGATGCCAGAAGGCGTTTCTATTCTCTATTTGTTGTGCACATGCAGCTTGCATTTACAAATACTGTTTATCTTAATGTAAAAGGCTGGAACTGGCAGAACTCCATTTTTCAGTTGAAATGGAATGTATGTGCTTCTTAAAATTTAATGTGTTCGTTTAGAAAAAAACTCACTGTTTATGTGGTATATCAAATATTTTTTTATTTTAAAAAATTACATTGCATATAAAATGAAAATAAGGGATATTTCTTATTGCTAATCCATTTTCTTTAATGTTAGTGTAATTACAGTGTTGGTGTAATTAGAATAAAGCATGTAAGGTGGTTATGTTAACACTTGTGCAGCACTGACAGATGATGCAGAAACTGAATATTTCAAATATCTCTCCCTGCCTATGTGTGTCCCCCTCCCCCAATCTCTTCTTTCTCCCTTTTTCTGTTTTGCTGAAATACTGCAGTTGTTTCATGTGCTAGGAAATTAAACATTCTTGCCTTTCAGCCCTGCAGTAGTTTAACAGCCGCAGGAGAGAAAACAGTTGATGCTTTTCATTTGAACCATTGTAAACCAATAGTATATATAACTTTTTGGTTTCTAAACAGCTTTCTGTCCATTGTTTGCAGCCTCACAGAGGAGGTCTTTTGGGTGGAGAGGTAGAAATGCTTCACTTCTTGTATTGGCTAGAGATAGCCTAGCATTTAGATCTCGAGTTAAGTATTGTTGGTTAGCAAATAGCTTTTTGTCAGTGGTCAAGTCCACAAAATGGCTTTTGCAGTGAGCAAAGGTACAGCAAAGGACTTCTATAAGGAAAGCTTTTCATTCTGTTTAACACTGACTTAAAGGTCAACTGGACTGGAATTTAGTTAAGGGTTGGATTATATTTTTTTTCTTGTGTGTTTGCATGACTGAACATACATTGATGAGTGCAAAAACGCACGTTCTCTCTTCCCTTTAAAACAAAAACCCAACAGTCACCCCCCCAACACATACGTTTTAATTTTCAAGACTTTACATGTTCAAGTTTCAGTAAAACTGCTGTCTTACTGGTAGTGAAGTGTAATTATTAGATTGATCTTTGTAACATTTAGAGTCATGGTTGGCCATCGATTTTAAATGGAAGGTACTATCTGAGACCGCTTAAATTGCTAAAGAGGCATATTGAAATTTATACCATGTTAATCTGAGTGGGTGGTTCTGGCAATTTAGCATGGCATGTGAATTTATGAGGAAAACAATATTTTAAATTGATACACTGGTAATGTTTGGCGTGCTTAGTGACACAGTCAGGGTGAAGGACAGCCAGAGTCTCTTTGTTTTAAGTACATCTGATTTCCAAAACTGAGCTAGTCAGAGCATCTCAGTCACTGGTTTTGATGTGATGCTCTGTCAAAAACACAAAAAAACCCCCAAAGCTTCATGTTGCCATAATATTGGCAGGCACATGAGCAATCCATAGAAATATTATGTCCTTCCAGAAAGACATGAACTGAACTAAGCAGAAATCTGAATTTCACACTCAGTGGAGGACAAAGGTGCTAATCAAAAGTGGAAGTTTAAATTACCTCAGTTGAAGACTGAAAGTGTCATAAAACAAAGATACTGTAGGACACTTGTCAAAGCTCTTGGAAAGCTGTCCTTGTCTGCTGTTCTTGCAGAAAGCACTCTTGATGTGGGAAGATTAAAGTATCTGAACATGAGATTTTGCAGCTGCTGACTTATCTCATATTTTTCTTCTTTCTTCCTAAAAATCCATCCAGAAGCATTAACTGAGTTTGGGAGGGTGGTAGTATACATTTTTATTTTTTAAAAAACTTCTATGAGAATCCAGTTGACTTTTAAAATCTTTACTTTTTTAAACTCTCATACATTTAACTTCCATGTCTTCCATAACCATAGAATTCTGGTGATACTGTTTACTTGGAAAACACAATTTTATCTTTAAGATGTCTTAACCCTTGGCAAACCATCAGCTGCAGGTTGGGCTTTTCAACATTTTATGTGTTGGTACCTCACTTTGGGAAGAGGACATGTAAACATGGTCTTCAAAAGACATACTTAAGATTGCTCTTTGACTTGAGTCTTTGAGTATCCTAATATTTATGAGTTTGGAGTCTACGCATGAGCATATGTTGTTCTAATTTTTTAGTTACTGATTGAGCTATTCATTGCAAGTGGAGTGGTAAGTTTACAAACCACAGTGGCAAATTGATTGTGATGATTCCTAATATTTCATAGAATACATACTTGTTTGTTGTAAACCAGATTGGCAAAGTGTGAAACAGAATACGGGGAAAAGTAAGTTACTCTAAGCCACATATCTAATATGACCACGAAATCCATGGGTTTTGCTGCTCTGTTTTTTTGTGGGGGTGGTTTTTTTTTATGTATAAGCAGAATACAATTTTAGCAAACTGAGCACAAGACATATGAAAAGTAGTGCTCTGAGTAATTTATCGCTTCAGTGATGCATTCTTTTTAAAATACAAGTGGAGAAATCCTGTAAGCAGCAAGCAGACTAATTCCTGCTATTAACATTTTAACACTTGCTAAGCAAAAAGGGAATGTTTCCATACTTTCAGGTATTGAAGTGGCAGAGCAGCCAAGAAGCTGAGCAAGTAAACTTCCAGGGTTTAAAATGGGGGGGGGGGAAACAACCCTAGGCTTTTAGAGTGCTGTCAGTGAAAAGGGGTGAGACATCTGAAGATGTGCAGTTTTCCTTGATAACTGGTTTGCTTTCCATAAGCAGAGTATCACCAGTCTTCGCAGAGCATGGCTCATGATGATGGTCTTGTTTTGGTCCACCACGGGCAGAATGAAAGGCCTCCATTGGGATGCAGCTGAACTCACCTTTGCATTAAACAAACACCCCTTCCGCATTTGAGCCACTTGGGACAGATTTCAAAAGCATGCTACCAGATGTGAATTTCAGACTGTATTTTTAAACTTGACCACTGCACCATGGTTTTTTTTTTTTTCTCTTGTTATCTTGCTTTGTCATTGCTTGCTCTCTGCTACAGCATACTGCTTGTAGGCAGTCCTTGTACATATGACACTGTAGCGTTATTTTCTTAGTTTTAGCAAATGTAAGTACTGCAATTCCCTTTCTGTAGTTGTTGACTGCATGGCACTGCATGCTAAATCATCTTTTTGTTTAGGCAATTAGCACGGTCTGTGTATAAGATCTCTCTATGTTCCTGTGTGCAGGGCTAGCTTGGAGCATACATTAGAAGTAGAGTTTGTGGTTCACTGCTGTTGCTGTGCATTGCATGTGTATGTTGCTGTGTATGCCAAGTTACAGGTACTGCAGGATGTGCAGTTTGGCTAATTAATTCACTTCAAGTAAGTACTAAAAAAAAAAATTAAAAAAAAATCTCTGTTTCCCTTAGGCAGAGAGTTGTATACTGGTGCCTTGAGTCACCCATACTGTTCTGTAAATGCAGACTAGTTCTTCTGCTCAGAACTTAGAGAAAGGTGTGAGACCACCTGAGTTTGAGACTGCCAGCTTGTACGTACTTACTCATGGTCCTGTTGTGGCTTCTTAGCTGACAGTTACGCATAGCTATCATGGGGCACATTTCAAAGACTTTTAAAGGAACTAGTTCCTTATGCGAGTGTTGATTTGGTGTTCTTAAAGAGACTGGAAGGGGCATGATAGGAAGGGAGGTTTTGGATTGTTGACTGAAGCAGCCACCGGAGAGCAGCACAAGGCAAGTGTCTTTTGGATAGCATCAAAGGGCAGTTCAGAAAGCAGTGAAGCATCAACATGAATGATGGGAAGGTACGAACTAAATAGAGATGATACAAATTTCCCTTTCTGAAGAACAACCAGTTTCAACACTAAGAATTCAGCTTTAAGTCATACTGATGTGGAAAAGCAGGCAAAAGAGTTAAAACATCTTGGTATGGGAAAAGCAGGCAAGGAGATGAAACCTTTATTGGCGTAGTAACCAGAGAGCAAGAGGCCCAGAACTCAGTGACAAGCAGCAAATACACAAAACAGGAATCCTGTTGTCTGTAAGATGTAACTATCTAGCTAGAACTGGTCTTGTAGTTTGGACCTCAACCAACCCAGCATTCCAAGCCAAAGGTGAAAAGTACACAGTGAAGAAGACCGCGAGCCTTCATCCAGAAGACCCCCATAGACGACCACCAGATAGCAGTGTGCAAGCACCAGGAGGAGGAGACTTACGGGTTCCTGGAAATGATTACCATAGTCACGCCTATCCCCAGAATTAATTGTAATAACCCAGCCCAAATTAGTGAATATGTGTATTTTGTGTAATAAATAGGTGCTTGCTTTGTGATCGGGTGTGTGGGTTTGGAGGAGATCCCCCTTGCACCCAGCGCTACATACCTGCTTTATAACTCTGTGAGTTGCAGAGCATGATTCTGCATGTCAGTACCTCCATTTACAGATTTGTTAGTTGTACCAACATGCAGTCCTCTCAAAAGGATCTTAAAACCACGCTTCAGCTACAGAGGGTGATTTTTTGTTTCTTTGTTAGGGGAAGCTGAGAGGATACATGTTAAGCCTAAACACCGGCTTAGCCTGCTTCAGAAATACGTTTTGATAGAAGTGCCCTGTGAGTTCATGAGACATGGGGGTGAACTCCCTGTTTCCTAGATAGCCTCAGGAATGTTATCCTGTGAATAGCTTTTGGGTCTGTGTGAGCCATCCCCTTGAACAGGCTCCAAGTGGCTTTACTTGAGCCTTTGATCACTTTATTTTGGGGAGGAGGGGAAATTTGTGTGTAGCTGTTTGGTGGGAGTGCAGCTTCTCTGCTACCCCCTTTTGAAATTAAAAGAGATAGGCATACCATACCTGTGTAACTGTGCAGCTCTGTGGTTCCCCAATTCAGGGTAGAGGAATCACTCAGACATAGCCCTCTCAGCACCCCCTTTGGAGTGCAGGGCTTACTTAGCAGCCCTCCTTTATCAAGGCCATTCAGCAATGGACCAGTCAGCCTTTGCATATTTTGACTAAATGATTTGTCTGAGATGTCCTCTTGCTTTCCTCTTTATTTTTTTTTTATGTTGCCTCTTGGAATGAGCCAGGTAAGTTTGACTCAACCAAAGCAAACTTCAGGGAGCTCAAAGTTGGCTATATTTGTCTGGGAGTAACTAGTCTCACTCTGACAGTAAGCGTCTTTCACTTCAATATGAGAGGGCAGCTAGTTAGCCTAAACCCAACGGTTTTTTGTTTAGTGTTTTGAAGGGCTGCAGCTTGAGTACATCCAAAACTAGATGACCAGGACAGGATTGGAACAGCTAAATTCATCTTAACATACAATTAAGTTTTAGAGTAGTAGTTTGTAATGTTCCCTGAACTCAGACATTACACTACCTTGTCATGGCAAATGTATTGTGTTTGGCTTGGCAGACTGCATATGAATTTGTACTGTACTGGGTAGGACGATGTGCTATGATAGTTTGGAGTTGGTTCATAAATTATAGTGCTTCTCCCTTTAAAATCTAAACCTCTTCTGTTTATATTCCTCCTAAATCAGGAGTTGGTATCTACACAGGCAGAAAACGCAATTCACTGACTCCTAGATCGAGTCTATTTCCTTGTCCGGGTTGCCAGCGGGATATTGATCTTGGAGAACGTGGCATCAATGGCTTATTTCGCAACTTTACTTTGGAAACTATTGTGGAAAGATACAGACAGGCGGCTAGAGCAGCCATTGCCATTATGTGTGATTTCTGCAAACCTCCACCTCAAGAGTCCACAAAGAGCTGCATGGACTGTGGTGCAAGCTATTGCAATGAATGTTTCAAAATGCACCATCCTTGGGGAACCGTGAAAGCCCAGCATGAGTACGTAGGACCAACCACCAACTTCCGGCCCAAGGTAAGTACACCATACCTTGCAGTGTTTGCATATATATAACTTCAGACATACCTGTTTAGAACCATTGTTGCTTTATCGACTATTGCTGTTATTTATTGAGTGAACCATGACCTCTTGTTTTTGTTAATGCTGAAGTGATTGTCCTTGAAGAGCACATTAAGAACATACTTGAAGGGAACCCTAAAAAGAAAGATTTACTTTAGGGAATGCATTATGTTATTTGTGATTTCAGTCTTTTTTTTAATTATTTTTTTGGGTGACTTAATGAACTTCAACATCTAGAGTGGCAGTGCTTTTCTCTAAAAGTGGGCTCAACGACGATGCCTGTGTGTGGTAAACTTAAAAAACCCAACACAACTGGCCTTCCCCCTGCCCCCTTAAGGCAGGTTCCCTTTGGATGTTTTGTGCCTGAACTTGATTCATCACAAAGCATATCCTTTCTCTCTTCCTTTCTTGCGTCTAGCCATTGCAAAAGGTGTTCAGGTCTCTGTTGTTGTTACACCCCGCTATGTTTTTAGTTTAGAGAAAAATGGAATGGCAAGTTTCCTACTTTACACACTGCTGCTGCATTCAGACAGAGGGATTGCAAGGTGCCATTACCTTTGTTTCCCTTGCTAAGCGTGGTGCTGATCGTGGCAGTGCCTTATTGAATTTAAGTTGCACAAAGGGAGGAATTGGCCCAGCTGCCATCTCTCTAACAAGGCACCACGATAGGTATTAAAGTCACAGTGTTTGCTGCGTGCCTGTGGCCGGTGACCTTCCTGGAGATCCCACAGATATCAGAAATGCTGATTAATTTTTATCAAATTAAGTAGATCTGATTAATGTGCAATGCGCAAGAAGCTCTTGATAAGTGGTGTACCTTCTGTCCAGGGCTGGAAAAATGATGTACTGTTTAAAAAAAAGGGGGAAAAAATGTGAAAAACACAGTATAGTTAAATCAACTATAAATACACCTACTTTGTAGAAAAACTTCCCAACAACAGTAAACGGATCTTTACTGTGCTCTTACAGAGACTTGTTTGAGGACTGAGCTTAATGTAAAGAAAGAAAAGTGCTTTTTTTATTTGCACTGCGTTGTTAAGACCTGAACTGAATGCATGGAATATTTGCTGGACTCCTAAAAAATCACTTAAAACCAGACCAGAGAGCACTTTTTAACTTTTATGATGAGGATTGGAGAAGCACATACTCGGCTGATTGTTCTTTAATTTTGAGAGAACTAGACAAGGTGATCTGCTGACCTCTTCTGTCTCTAGCTTGCAAGTTGTAATTCTTGCTTATACGAGGAGATGCATAAAAATTTGTGGTTTCTGTTAGGTATGACTGTTCACTGCTGTAGAAAAATTACTTCCACAGACTACCAGCATGAATGCAGTTTTTGGAGATGTCCACCTGCATAGCTGATTTTCCTGAACATTTCCTCCCTCCACCCTGCCCCGCAAATTCATCAGTCAATGACAATGGGTTAGCTTATTGCATATTCTGCTTAATGACAGTCTTTTGTACCAAGGCACTAGTGAGACTGGTATCTTTGCGCTTTTTACCATAGCCTAAAATAACATCTAGGATTTGAGAGTTGTTTTTGGAGATGGTCTGCAATTTTAGCTTAGTATGTCCATTGTGCTACTCACAATTTTCTATTTTTGTGCCCTTTCTTGTCTGTTTTTTGGAGGGAAGGGATGTTAAAAGATGATACTTTTAAAGCTTGACTGTTGGCACTGCTGTCTTGTTCTCCTTGACATAAAACTTGAAAAGCTGTCTCAAGAGCTCTTCTTTGGTAACATGGAGTAGACAGAGCCAAATGTTGTCTTTCAGTGCTCTGGAATGAGGCAAAGCATTTTTTTTTTTTAAGACACACATCCCCACACAACCCCCTCGCCTTTTAAATGGTTTTATCTGTTGCTCGAGTTTGAAGTTCAGCAGCACTGTTTCTTTCCTTTCCGAGCAGCTATTTTAACGTGTTTGGTTTTTGAAAGATGATTTTTAGCGAACTCCAGCTTTTTTGCAGTGCCGTTTAAGCTGAAACTGGTGACACCGAGAAAGCCAGTCAGAGAAACTCTCCAAGACTCATTTTGGAGTTTTAGAAAGCAGGTGTTCTTTGTTGCAGTGCTGGACACACACGGAGATCGCTCCCCCAAGGAGTGTGTGTGTCCATCTTTGTTTCAGCACACGTTATATTGACCTAATACACGTATATTCATTGAACTTCCACAAAACATTTCACAGAATCACAGAATGGTAGGGGTTGGAGGGACCTTAGGAGATCATCTGCTCCAACCCCCCTGCCAAAGCAGGTTCCCTACAGCAGGTTGCACAGGAGTGCATCCAGGTGGGTTTTGAACATCTCCAG